AATCCATATGTGTTGAAGTGGATGGAAGTGAAATTAAACTAAGTTTCATTCCAATCCACTCCAACGCATATGAATTGAAGTGGATACACATACATCCAAATAAGACCTTAGTGTTCAGGGCCATGCACGCTTGTACTTGAGGTCCTAGCGCGTGCTCTACTTTTGGTGATGGATTGGTAGGGCACCCGGCGACTACAAGCATGCCCGCACGAGAGTGGAGCGTGAACTGGGCTGCACAAACACAGGCAGGCACAGCGCGGCTGATCGTGATCTGATCACGCCCCGGCCCCCGCTCCGCCGGCTTTTCCCATGCATGGCGATCCCGGCACCCGAGGATCAAGGGATTTAACCTTCGAATCCACACCATGCTTTGTTTGGGGGTCCCGGCTCCCCAAGGCCAGCAGACGATGATTGGGAGCTGATTTGGTTGCTGCTGCGTGCGCCCCGCCCTCCTTTTCCGCGATCGAGAGCATGCCTGCCCTCCTTTTCATTTCACCTCACCACCACCAGGGCCAAGTTTTTTTTTTTTTGTGAAAAGGCGTGGCGTAGGACTGAGAAAAAGAGGAGCCTTGCCTAGGAAAAGGCGCCAGGGATGTTACATGACCTGCTAGTACCGTGCAGCAGTACTCCCAAGAGCAAATGAAGGAGCCGGAGGCGAGGCGTACAGCACGTATTCGGAGGATGATCTCTGCGGGTGACGTGCCAGCTCTGCTTGCTTGCCTGCTACTACTTGGTTGGTACTAGTGCAGATCTTGATGGCCATATATCGTCATTTGATCATATCCATGTTTTTGTACTATTTTTTTTAGATTACGGAATAAAACATTCCAGCCTATATGCATCTATATAAGTGTTGGCTCCATGGGGAATTTGTGTTGCTCAGCTCGACGACAAAGGTGGCAAAACAAGATCCAATCACGGGTCACGACGTAAGTTGAAGATGGCGTGGACCTCCCTCCGGTGAAGATTTGATGAGGATCTCATCACAACGTAATGCACAAGTCTCGGCAGCTTCCTCCATGAAATCATTTCCAAATCGAACTCGTACTTTACCCAAATCAAGTCGTCTTTACATGTCAGAAAACAAAAGGATTCCTTCCCCTCGACCTTGATAACGCAATAACACCACAAAACCAATCCAATACGTGCCAGCCGCGATCTGGTCCTGCAACGGTTAATTCTTGCTGTTCTTGGTGGTCAACCGGTGACCACACACACATCATCACCGGCAACTAACAGTATTTTTTCGCTTGCTCGTATCTCGCTCGTATCTGGCTTATAAGCCATGACTTATCAGCCAACGAACAATATTTTTCACTCACATCAAACCAGCCAACAGTACTTTCAGCCATAGCTTATAAGCCAAACCAGCCCAAACGAATAGAGCGAAGAAAAAACAGTCCTACGAAAGCAGAAAACCGTTCCCATGGTATAAAGGCGATACATTCATAATACTAGCAGTTTGAGTGCCCTTTACTTTCTCACTTTTTTTCTTCCTTCTTTATTCTTTCTTCGTATTTATCCGTAGCTTCATATGCCCAATGTACTCCCTATGTTTCAAATTATAAGTCATTTTAATTTTTTACATTGAATTTGCTATGTATATATAAACATAATGTTATATCTATATACATAGCAAATCTGGTGTATCAAAAAAAATCAAAGCGACTTATAATTTAGAACGAAGTAAGTACATATACCAAAACTAACCCAGAGCAAAGTTGTTGCATCTTGTTTTTGTCATATTTTTACAACAATCCTTACAAGAGGGGTACAAGTGGGTTATGCCGCAAACCTATATATACGCTTAAATTTGGGTGTTTCTCGTGGTAAATCGCAAAATTAAGCCTATATATGAGTTCATGAACCAACCACTTGCATCACTACCATCTATGCATCTAGGACACCTCGCGGTCACTGCCTAGGGGCGCTCTCCTTCTTCCTCTTTTGGCGAGGATGTAGGTGGGCAGAAGAAGAATAGGTCAATCCCACCAACATTCAAGTAGTTCTTTAGATTTAGTTGTTTAGGTTTACTCCAAATAAATATATTAGGGTCTATTTGTATCCCGAAACCAATATCTAGAAAGTGTTTCCCATCATATTATTGGATTACTTTCCAGTTTCTCGAAATCAAACAGGGCCTCATTGAAATCATTATCGATATCATTTAGGAATTTATTACTGCAATAGCCTCGTTTATGACTATAACAAGATCGCCATTGAGGAAGTCAACGGTACCAGGTCAGTTTGTGGTTTACTATCTACAAAAGACAAGGTTGCTCATGTGCACTTCTCACCGGGATATTAACTCTAGGTCGTTGAGCTCTTTGCGGTCATGAAGAGGAAGTTAGTCAAACTTGATGATCAAAAGCTGGAGGCGTTGATGTTCTTTTATTGATTCATATGTGTACCCATCTGGTTCCGAAATGTTTGATTTCACGACATGTCAAAGGTTTCGAGCTTGACCGATAGACTCAGCGTGAGGACTGTATTTTAGCTTGGTATATTCGGTGGTGCTATATTCGTGTGCAACATCGACTGTATCAATCAAAGTTACTAAAAATCGCAAAAAAAAAAAAAAAAAATCAAAACAAAGTTACTAAAACAGAAGATGATAAAAAGATTTAATAGAATATTTTTTTATTTTAGATTGTTATATGTAATTTAGAGTTGTATTATACCAAGTTTTAATATAATTTCTCTCCTTTAGGAAAAAAGTTACTAGTATGGTAATTATGTACGCAAAAGATTTGTGTATCATTGTATTAAGGAGAATAGTTTAAAGAAACATACAACGTGCTTCTATCGAGCGCCCAAGGAGGTCGACCTAACACAGCCGAAGCTGGACCATCATAGCAAAAGACCTCATGTTTCGATATTACATAAAAGGAAACAACCAATATCGACGCAGCTTTGTGGCCTAGGTGGCCTTGCGTCTTCATGTCGCTCTGATGGGCGGTGCCTTTTCAACGGCCGGGAAGAGCTCGTCCAGCGCCTCGGCTTCGGACGCAGTCAGGTTGCCGTCGAAGAGCCTGTTAAAGGCCTCCAACTCCGAAGCGGATGGCGCAGATGGATCCCTGGTGTAGCCATACGCTGTATGATCAACACCTCACCTCACTTGAAAGCTGGCACTCGGGAGATGCTCTGAGCCGCCAACCGCCTGCCCCGCCACGGTAGTACCGGCTTAGCAGAGGTCGCTTGGGAGGCTCATGATCAATCGTGAGAGAGTCCCTCTTACGCGTGACATTGTTGATGAAGCTGTCGAGGCGTCGTTTGGCGGAGTCGTCGTTATCCACAGTCTGGTGGGTAACCCCTGGTGGTGAACTGGAAGGGCCATCCACCGTGAGGTCGACCGCGTGTCTTCGGCGAGTCCACTACCCGTTGAATGGGGCGTGGGGGTGGTGTCCAACATGACTCATCGGTCACTGTTACCATCAATTCCCTCTCTATATAGGAAATTTACTTTCGCATGCAGCTGTATTTGCAAGGTTCAAAAAATGATTTTATTAGCGAAAATTTCAGGGAAACTTCTCTCTCCCCCCTTTTTTGGGCGAGCACTCGGTTTAGCAAGCGCCCGAATATACACCCCCTCGCTGCTAGTAGGGTAGTTAGACAAATCAAAGTTCTGTCTCTCTCTCCTCTCTGTCTTTAGATTTTATTTAGGCATTGTTTAGTTTCTCTCAAAAAGTTTATATTATATCCCATCGAATATTTAGACACATACATGAAGTAATAAATATAAACTAAAAAAATAACTAATTGCACAGATTACGACTATTTGCGAAACGAATCTTTTAAGTCTAATTAGCCCATGATTTGATAATAAAGTGCTACAGTAACATATGTGCTAATGATAGATTAATTATGCTTAATAAATTTGTCCGACGGATTTGTAATTTTTTTTATTAGTATCCAAATCCCTAATATAACCTCCGATGTGGCGTGCCAAAATTTTACTCCGAGCAACTAAACATGGCCTTAGTGCCCCGTCCTACTAGCACTCCATCAGATTCAGCCAAACTGCATCCGTACGCGCATTAATGCCTGGACACGCAGCAGAGCACACATTTGCCAGATCCAGGATCCCACCGGTGCGACGCGATGCGAAAGATACCCACCTCGAAGATACACAACACGATGATGCCGAGAGAGAACGGAACGGAACCGAACCGAGCAGACAAACCAGATTCGTCCCTCCCCAATTTCTATCTATTCTATCTACTATAGTACGAGTACAGCTAGATAGTAGTACGAGCAGAAAGAAGAGTGCGTGCGTGTGATCCGGCGCGAGACATGGCCACATGAGGACAAACCAAACTCCAGCTAAGATATCCATCATCGTCGCCTCATCTGATTCTCCACCTCACTCCACTGCGGGCAGCTCCGTCCCACATCTGATCTGTCAGTCCAGTCGTAATCCCCTGCGAGAAGAACTGTTTTTTTTTGGGATGAAATTCACTTAATCCCGGCTCCGAAATACTGGGGATATAGGGTTGTGTTTTGGGAAGGCAGCAGCAAGCGAACAAGCAAGGAACCAACGATGGCGGTTTGGACGGACGCGCGGGCAGGCCACTAATAATTAAACCAGTCCAGGTCCAGCGCAGCAACCCAAACTCACTCGCCAGATTCTCTCTCGCTCATCCATCATCGGCAGCGGCTAGAGAAAGAGAGACTCGAGGGGCGGAGGGAGAGGAGGATATCATGGCACGGCATACGGCGGCAGGGGAAAACACCTCCCTTCCTAAACACACGCAGCAGGAACACACGCTGTGCTGTGCGAGATACAAGAGAGAGAAAAGGAGAGAGAACGAACGGCAGGAAAGAAGAGAGATCCACCTCGAAGTAACCCTCCTCCCTCCTCGCTTGCTCCTGCTGGAGTGGAGTTGGAGTCGAGCCTACTGCTCCTGCGGCTGCCGCGGCGTCGAGTCCAGCGAGCTGCAAGAATTGCTCTGCTCGCCAGGAGAGCAGGGAGAGCAGAGGAGGAGAAGCCGCGCGCGGCCATGAGGGAGGAGGCGGAGCCCAGCTGGTTCGCGCGCAGCGGCGGCGAGGAGCAGCAGCTCCCGCGGCCGGACGAGCTGATGCCGCTCACGCAGACGCTCATCACGCCCGATCTCGCCGTCGCCTTCGACATCGCCACGCACGGCGGCGGCGCGGGGGCGGGTGCGGGCGCCGGCGCCTGCGCAGGCGGCGGGCCCGACATCAACGGCGGCGGAGGAGGCGTGTCGTCGGCCGCGGGCTCCAGCGGCGGCGGGGGCGCCGGCGCCGGCGACGAGCCGGCGCGGACGCTCAAGCGCCCGCGCCTCGTGTGGACGCCGCAGCTGCACAAGCGCTTCGTCGACGCCGTGGCGCACCTCGGCATCAAGAACGCCGTGCCCAAGACCATAATGCAGCTGATGAGCGTCGACGGCCTCACGCGCGAGAACGTCGCGTCCCACCTCCAGAAGTACCGCCTCTACCTCAAGCGCATGCAGGGGCTCGGCGGCGGAGGGGGAGGCGGAGGCGGCGCGGGGGGAAGCCACTCCTCCGGCTCCGGCATCGACGCCGCCACCGAGCACCTCTTTGCCACGGAGCCCGTCCCCTTCCTCCCGCCGGGCCACGGCCACCGCGCGCCCGTCAACACCTACCCGCCCTTCTCCCCCATGGGCGGCGCCGCGCACCACCACCACCAGCACCACGCGCCGCAGATCGGTCACTTCCACCACCCCGCCGCCGCGCGCCCACTCGGCCACCACTACGGTGGCGCCGCCGCTGGCGCCGGTTTCGACCACGGCGGCTTCCTGAGCCGCGTCGCCGCGCCGCCCGTCGTCGGCCCGCCCGGGATGCACCACCACCGCATGGTCGGCGCCGGCGCCGGGATGGGGATGGGGATGATGGCGCCCGCCTCCTTCGCCGACGAGATGGACCTCGGATCCCGAGGCGCTGTCGGCAGCGGCGGCCGCCGCGAGCTCACGCTGTTCCCGACGTCCGGGGACCACTGAGGGCCGGCCGCCGGGGGTCCGTCCGACGACGGCGATGGGCATCGGAGTCACTGCGGGCGGGCGGCCGCCTCCGCCCTCGGCCCTCGGCCCTCGGGTACATAAAATTCGAAATTCGTTTCCTTCCTGTCCCCCCTCTGCTGCGCAACCGCCGCTGCTTCCCACAGATCGGCATACAAATCGAGCAAGGCTCAACCCACATCTCAATCTCAATCTCAATCTCATAGAGTCCAAGAATTCTTGGGAATTAGCAATCCTTCCATGCGTTCCTTCCTTCCTCCTACATCTCGTCTCGTCGCCCAACCAACCATTGTTGCTGTTGATGTTCGTTCGTGTACTGCTGCTGCTATTTGTCATGTTCTCCCCCCTCCCTCCTTCCATTGTTCTTGTTGCTGATGACATAAAAGTTAGCCGTAGAAGAGACGATATATTTAGAGGGTTGTACAACGAATTGTGACTCGACAACTTTCTCGCCTCCACCATCGTCCGACTTCAATCTTTGCGATCGCGCCAAGATTCCAGGGTCGTGACTCTCTGTTCTCGAGTGATGCAATGCAACGCAACCACCTTTGCTTCAGAGCAGCTAGAAGTGACCCGTCAAAGAAGTGATGCAACCATTGTGCTGTGCATGATAAGAGGTTTCTGTTTTCATATATGGATAAATATAGGCAGGGTTGAATAATCGATCCCAAGGCGTAGCAATGGAGATGAACAACTCTGAGGATTATTACACCTACATGTATGATAATCGGATCTTGTGGGAGTCAAACCATCTGCAACTGCGAGCGTCAAAGTGGAGATTCAGAGCTTAATCTGCTCTGTCAGTTTTCTTCCTCAGCACCTCCTTTGATGGAGGTAAGAAGAGTGTTATATGATATATAGTACTACTAGTATGCAGTGGCAAGGGTTGCAACACTTGATCACATTGTGTTTCTGCCTCCCTAGAACAAACATTGGAGCAGCTCAAATTGGAGTTTGTTGTAGTAGCAAATTAAAATTGTAGCCATCATCAGCCATTTGTAAATCTGCGCGACTTATAAAAGAGCTTCTTTGTAGCCCTGAGAAAAAAGAGACCAGCTTGATGAATCATGCTACTAGTACAGCGATGAATCATGCCCTGAGATAAAAGAGCTTACGTTCTTGTATAAGTACCGTGTTCGACTGTGTTGAAGTTAATGCTCTGCATCATTGACGCCCTTTTTTTTTCTTTCTATTTTGCTCCCTAACAAATGTCGCTGTTAAGAAAGAGAGTTCATCCCTTGCTCCTCTGATTGGATAGCCTGATGTGCGATGTGTCCATCTAGCGTCCTGTTCGCTTAGCCGATAAGTCATGGCTGAAAATATTATTAACTGATTCGTTGTGAGAAAAAAATACCGTTTGTTCGTTGGCTCGAAAAATCTGGATTAGTTTATCAGAAGCCAGCGGTCGTTGGCAGTGCAATTCTTTTAGTAGTTTCCCGCACTTGCCAACCAGCAGATTAAGATAGTACTTACCTCACTGTTGCCATCTGATCTGAGCTAGTACTAGTCTGAGGAGAGGAGATTTATTTGCACTAGTCATAGTAGTAGAGTCTAATATTGTACGTAAATAGCCACCTCATCATCCCTGCGTGGGCTGTGGGCTGTGGCCGCGCCTGCAGGCGTTGACGAGTCCAAGGATACGGAGAGAGAGAGGTCTCCTCTCGTCCTAGGCTACGGTGTCTACTCACTCCCTCCAGAAAAAAACGCAAAATGCTTTGTTGCTTGGGAAGAGAGAAATGAGAACCGAATCGAAGAAGAAGAAGCCAAGGAAAAATGGGAAATACTGTAGGGGAATCAGGAATGGCGTTGCATTAAATTCCTTGGACAGGGAGGCAGGTGCATGTTGGTAGTATGACTAGGCATTTATACGTACGACGTGACCACGAGAGAGAGCGACCAGGCGCGGGGAGAAAATGTACGCAGACGCAACCAGGCGACGGCGACACCGACAGCGAGGTGTGTGGGTTTTGTTCAGGTGCGCCAGCGGCCCTGTCCTGTCGCCTCGCCTCGGGACGTGCCGGCGGCATCGGCACGGCCGCATGCATGGAGATCAGACGGCAGCAGCATGGCTTGCTTTGCCTCTCCCTCTCCTTCCTTCGCCCCCACGAGGCCACATCTCATCAGCTTGCACGAGCTGGCGTTGCCGATCCATTCCACGCAATGGCGCGCCTT